CATGTCGGGTAGGTGCGGGGGCTGCCCCGCGGGGTGCAATGTGCGGGGCGGGGCGGGCCCGCACCTCTGGCCACCAGCCTGGGAAGGTGGCTAAACTGTAAAGCCTGGGGAGGAGGGAAACCAGTCGGGGGGCTGCTGCACCCTTGCCCCCTAGCTCCAGCCTGCCCCTGGGGAGCTCTGTGCTGGTGCTGACACTTAGCTCCCCAAGCACTGAGGAGAGGGGTGCGGGACACAGCTGTTGCCCCCCTTCTTCCTCAACCCCATGTCAGGCATTACCAGCTGTTCATCAGGGGGCATTTCAGTACCAGGCTAGTCCCCTCCGGTGTCTCCTGCCTGCCTCCACCCCTTGCTCTTCTCTGGCACTAGTTCATCTGAACCCAGTGTGGCCTGAACTTTCCCTCCTAGTCAGAGATTGGCCTCTGCCTCTCTAGCGAAGGACTTCTCAAACTTCCCAATTCATCTCCAGGTGCGTCTGTGCTGGGGCAGTGCCTTGCCTCCCATCTGCTAGCTCACCCTTAAACAACTAATAGACTGCTAAATTTTGTGGGAACCTTTAGTTATGGCTCCAAAGCAGAGTGGTGTGGCTCCAACCCATCTCTAGCAACACTTGTGAACACAAACCCCTGTACAGCTATTCAGCTCTTCCTCACAACCCCAGTGCTGGAGCAGGATCCCTCTAATTCTCAGGTTTCCCATTTGATTTTTATTATATGCCTTTACTTGTTGCATTGTTATCAAATAATTGCTTGGATTCTGATGTATATAATGCTTGTAAGGCAGGGAGAGTGAGCAAATAAGGAAACGTATGATGGATTTTTTTCAGAGAACACTCCGTCCTTTTCTGTCATGAAGGTTTGTGCTGAGATAAATGTGTAAACTATGTGAATGAAGAGAAAATACATTGCCCATCCAAGACTTGTGCATGAATTAAAATGTGAGGCAATGTTGCCTGACTACATAACTACAATAGAATTTATTTGGTATAGTATGGTCATTTCTAAGGCTGCACATTTACCAGGGAGTGATGGGAAGGATGGGGAGTGGTAGGTGGAGAAAGCTTATATAAACAGATAGTTTTGCAAATAAATAAACAAGAAACTATAAGCCTGAGGGAGACAGAAAATTCCCCACATCAAAATATTATGTTTGCTAAAATCAAGATTAGTATCTACACTTGTTGATAGCTGATCCTGCAGAGCAAGAGGTTGGGGGAGATTGACTCTGTTCTAACTATTCTTCTTTCCAACTCTAATTCCCGTGCTCTCTTCCTCAGAAACAGCAATTTCTCATCAACATAGGCTATTATTTGAACATCCTACAAATTTGTTTCTTCGTATACAAACAGGTCTCGTCTATCTTAAGGGTTGTGTTTCTGTTTTATGCAGCACTGTATCCTAATTTACTGATGTTGGTTTAAACAAATAAGGAAAACTGCTTAAAAAAAGACAATAAGCTATGTCTGCTTTAGATACACAGGTGGGAATTCTGAGTAGCTCTGTTGAACCACTCTGGATTTACACAAATGCAAATAAAAGATGAATTTGCTGTGAGGGGTGGGGCAAGTGGATCAGAAATGTTGAATGATGTGATTCAACAGTGACCAAATTCATCTCACTGAATTTGCGCAAATGTTCAGAGCTCATTCTCTTTGGATTTACTCCAATGCATTCCACGGCTGGCTGCTGTAGTTACACCATAACACCTTTATTGTCACTGATGGCTGTGTGGATAAGGCTGCATGGGTAGGCTACGTAAGCAGAACATAGGGTAGCTGAAAAGAGGATAAGTGCTCAGAAATGAAGAAAATGAACTAAACTGAAAACAAAAACAAAAAAATGGCAATGAATGTAAGTGGCTTAAGCTGTAATGGCCCTTGAAATGCTTGCCTTTCTGCAATTAACACACACATCAGAGGGGAGAATAGAACCATAAACCACGCATTTGCAGTGCAGATATTACAGTTGTTTGAAGTGAACTATTTCATTTTTTTTTACTTGTGTTCATTTTATCATGGAATTTAGCTTCTCACTCTGCTCTTCCAAAAGCAAGGGAGAAAGATTTGTGCGTTTGCAGTTTTACCTACAGATATTCCACCAAAGTGATTCAGTGGGAGTTTGAGTGTGCCTTCTAACACTAAGAGGTAAGGTGTATCTCTGCTAAAGTTCTTTGTTCAGCAGAGAATTTCTGAATTGCCAGTTCCGCTAAACTTCAAACAATTATGCAAAAGTTAATTAATGAGGTTACCAGTTTAGCACACCCAGACTTTCAAGAATAATTCTAATCCACAGCAAACAGGCAAATGAGTTCCCTGCATCCAAGAGTAATTATTATAATCAGTGTGTCTAGACATCAACACGTACTCAACCCATCTTCAGATTACAAGAAAAATATGACATTCTTAAAAAGTCTGTATGTTGGTTGAGCGGCTGGGAAGTAGATTAAAAAATGAAGAAACACAAAAAGTATGGTCGCAGCTTCTATTTAATTGCACAGAGATAGACTAGACGCTTTAGTGGTCCTTTCTGGTCTAAAAGAATCTTTGACTGAATAGTTTTTGCTTGTATTGCCATGCAGGCTGCTGATTAAATACAGCTCTCCTACCATACAGAAAGTGAGGGAATTCAATACTAATTTATATGTATCAAATATAATTGGAGGTATCACCAGGGGCAAGTACTGAGAAGGATATAAGGCCTGGGGGAGGGAGATAATCCCCCACATGACTAGTTTCCCTCCTCCCCTCTCCCGTCTGGACCCCCAGCACTCTCCCTGTTCTCTCTTCATGGCACTTACCGGGAAGAGCAGTCTGGCAGCCTCCGGCCACATTACCTGCCTGGGAAATTGCCCAATGCAGCAGCATCCCAGGCAGGCAGCAAGGCAGGAACTGTTAGAGGAAGGGCTCTGGCCGCACCTCTTCCCTTCTGGCACTGCTGCTGGCTCCTTGCCCCCTCCGTTTATTCGCCTCATTCTATGTCATCACTTCAGAATTGGAACAAATATGTTCTCCGGAATTATGTACTAGAAGTGGACTGTGAGTGATGCTGTACAGATCAGGCAGGATCTCTCCCTCCTCCCCCATTCCCGCAAAAAGAAGTTAGACTCTAATTCAGAACTTCAACTACAGGCAGAACAGTTCAGAAACTAGACTCTTTGGCTCCAGCCTATGTGACCCCAAAACACCGCATCAGGGCAGAGCCATCCTTGGGTAGGGCAAATTGGGGTAACTTGCCTGGGCTCTGTGCTTCCAGGGAGCCCACACTTTGATATGTGGCCCTTTCTCCCGCATCTAGATTGATGCACGATCCAGGTGCCGTTTGTCCCGATGGTCAAGTGAGGAGGAGGGCGGGGAGGTTGGGCAGGAGGGAGGAGAGAAGGCAGGAGGGGAAAGAGCCAATCTGGATGAATGGCAAGGAGACTGGTGGGGAGTGGAGTAGTAAGCAGGCATGTTCAGAGGAAAGCAAGAGGCGGGCAGGCAGGCACGCTGGGTGGATGATGTGGAGGCTCATTTGTCCTGGGCCCTGCACCCCCTAGCGATGGCCCTGACCAGGGAATAACATGACCCTGGGTGGGGAAGAAATTTAGCTCTGATCAGCATTGAAAATCTTTGTGCATGAAAACATTGTGCTTTAAGCAGTAGAGGGAAGTTTGGAGCCTAA